GATGGCTAATTTAGCAGCCGATCTCCAGCCCTCCAAAGGCGACACCAAGCTTATCAGATCTTTCTGATTTTTTTTCCCCCAACACTGGTTTTCAATAAACATATCATGTAATCTGAGGGCAAGAAAGACTTGAGACGCTGTCTTAGCCAGGTACGGGTGGCCCTGCCCAGGTGTGCCAAGTGTCCTCTGGCGGTGCCAGCCATGGGCTTGGGCTCAGTTTCTGCTGTTGCCTATGCCATCTGAATGAAATGGGGGCGGCTGCCATGGTCCCCCATCAGCATCTCTCTTCCATCTGCTCCCTTCTGGTGGCCAAGACATGACAGGGGAGGGGAGGGGAGATGGTGCCAAGGATAGGCACCACCAGCCGCACAGAGCAGCTATAAGCTTCCCTCCTCCACTCAGGCCTCGCCCCGCCCCCCAATCCAGCAGCTGCACTGTCTGCCGGCAAACTCCGCCCACACCTGACCTAGCCTGTCTTCTCATCTGCAGACAATTCACCCTACTCTACCTCAACAACCAATACTGTTTCCTTAAAATCTGCAGAGAAAGGGCCTTATAAACTTTGTTGGGAAGAATTTAATCTAGTTGGGTTTCCAAGGCCATTGGCTGTGATTTCGGATTCCTACTAAAGCTTTCTAGCTTGGGTTTGCTAATATCTAAATTGAAGAAGGCCAGAAGCCAGGGCTTAAATCATCATTTGGAGGTTGACATCGGAAATTCACCAGAGAAGAGATCCAAATCTTTGCCTCGTGGGTGGAGGGTCACCCCTGTAGGGTGAAGGATCTTTAGACCTTGGATTACTATTAAAGACTTGCAGAGAGAGCATTTTAAAAAGTAAAATCAACACTGGGGTGAGATGGAATATCATTTTCTGCTCTCTTCAGTTCCTCTTGCTCCCCCCCATCTCCTGGAAATCTGTTCATAGACTATGGAAGCTTGACTGTAGAAGGGGCAATTTTTTTTAAGTTTACAATTCCAATTCTTCACATTTTCTCTTTCTTCTTTTCAATGTAAGGTTTATCAAGCGGATAAGAAGCACTTTCTCTGCAAAGACAAGTACTATGGAAGAAAGCTCTCAGTGGAGGGCTTCAGACAAAGCCTTTACCAATTCCTGCACAACGGAAACCGTCTCCGGACAGAGCTCTTGGAACCCATCCTGCACCAGCTCCAGGCCCTCCTCTCCGTCATCCGGAGCCAGAGCTCATACCGGTTCTATTCCAGCTCTCTCCTTATCATCTACGATGGGCAGGAGCTCCCAGAAAGAACCCCAGGTGGCCTGCAGCCTCAGGAAGCTCCTCAGAAGGCCCGTGGCAGTGCTCCAGGAGGTCTGGCCAAAGTTGACATTCGGATGATCGACTTTGCCCACACGACATACAAGGGCTCCTGGGATGAGCAGACCACCTACGATGGACCAGATCCTGGCTATATTTTTGGCCTGGAAAACCTCATTGGGATTCTGCAGGATATCCAGGAGGGAGAATGAAACTTCTTGGCACTATCTGGAATTTTCTGGGCTACAGATTTTGAAAAGGGACCTATTGGTAGCTAGGATAGGGTAGATACCCCTTAGATGTCTTTTCTAATAATCAGATCTACCTTCAGAGGCCATCTCTATACATGGCAGACTATATTAACGGTTGCTAAAGAAATACGCCCCGGAGGCAATTCCACATGCAGGGCACCTCCTGTAATGCTGGTCATCTGTCGGCAGCACCGTGGAGGAGCAACAGAGGCAGAGGCCAGCACTGCAGTGAGTCTGGAGCATTTGCATCTACAAATGCTTTCTTGTCATGCTGCAGTCCTTCCGGCTGTGAGGGGAAAAAAAAAAAGAAAGAAAGAAAATCCTCCTGGAAGAAGTCTTGAAGAATGAGTTCCCAAGTTCAAGGATTTTTCTGCCTGTGTGAGCTGCCGGCTCCATGGGCACACAGAGCCAACCAGTGTCTCTTACCTTCCTAGAGGAGTGGGTATGGGTGAGACCCACTTGCCTGTCTCACCTGCTCTATACCCAGGTTCTCAATGACAAGGACACAGGCTGGGGGTGCACCCTGATTGTCGAGAGTGTGCCTCACATGCACAAGGCCGTAGGTTTGGATCCCCAGCACCAAGATAATAATCATCTAAATAAATGGACAAGGACACGCCCGGGCATGAGCACTAGTAAACCAAGACCTTGCCTCTCCATTTTTGCCTATGGAGAGAAGGGTCTCTTTATAGACTTCCCACTGCCTACGGGAGATGAAAACTCTGCCACATTCTGACCACAAAATGATTGTGACCATGAAATGCAACTTCCAGTGGGGGTGGAATGCACGTGAGGAGGAACTCCTGGTGTCAAACTCTACTCTCTGCTTTCTGTTTATTTATTTGGGAAGGGGGGGGTTGGGGGAGTCCAAAGAAAAGAACCTAGAGGACCGAGGAAACCAGGGAAATGTTTACAAGACGGGTGGACAAGTGTAAATAGAAAATAAGAGCAAACAGTTCTAATTAATTCCTTCTTCTGCAGTGTGGGAACCTATTACAATGCCCTTGGGTCAAGCGCTGCGATACGTTCCCCAATTAGGGAAATAAATTTGTTAATAAAATTGCTGAGGTCACCTGTGATTATTGGTGGGCCTTATTACCCTTTCTGTTTGTTTATTCTGATCAGCACACTGTATGGTAGTTCCAATTTATGAGCGACTAGAGTATACAGCAAGAATAGCTCCCTGATTTCCTGCAATCCTTCAGGGAACTCGGGTGGAAATGGTGGCTAATAAAATATTTGCATGTATCTGCAAGGCAGGCACCAGATCTTTCATTTCACTTGAAACTTATATAATGCAAAATTAAATAGTTATTGGATTCTAATGGATAACTGCCGTCAAGTTTCCAAAATTTCCATACTCAGAAGGAAAAGAGTGGCCTGGATCATAAAAAATTTTTAATTCTGGATTACACTGCCTGGATTTGAAAGTAGGATTTAAAAATCCCAAATTATGTTTGGCCAAGGTAATGACAAAATTATTTTTGCAGACTGTGCTTACGGGGGAAAGTGGAGCCAGAGCATGTTAGGTGGCAAAAGAGAGCCAACTTCAAACTAAATATTTGCCTATGACAAAACGGAGCCCTAAACCCTTTCTTGCTTGAGAACTTGGTACTGCACCAACCAAGTTCAAAGCTCCCAGGCTTAGCTTCTCACCCCCACACATTCCTAGCTCTGGGTGTTGTGGGACTTGCCCACAGATGGGACGGATGGCCAGCTGGAATCTAAATCTGTGGCTGGTCCACCCTGGTCACAACATGCCACAGCTGCTGTCTGTGTCCTCCTCCTCTCCACGTGATGCCCCTCTCACCTCACCTCTCCCCATGGTCCGCATCCCCTGTGAGGCCTTCTTCCTCCTCTCAAAGTATTTGAGGCCTGACCTGAGTTCCCATCTCCTCCTGAAGATGGCCCCAACAAAACTGCACTTTATTGTAAGAAGAGGAGAGTTGCTAATGGTCTTAGGTTGTTCTTACTGGACTGCTGGACCCAAAGGGGGCCACTGTGGTCTGGAATCTGCTCTGCAGATTTGGGATCTCTGAGGAATGAGCTCACCCAGTTGATTCCAATCTGGGGAGAAAGAGATGAACAGAAAGGTACGTAGAGCCAGGTGTGGTGGTGCACCCCGGAAGTCCCAGCTGCTCAGGAGGCTGAGGCAGGAGGATCTGAGTTCAATGCCAGACTCAGCAACTTAGTGAGGCCCTGTCTCAAAATAAAAAATGAAAAGGGCTGGGGAGGTCAGTGGGTAAGCACCCAGTTTAATCCCTTGTACCAAAACAAGGTCAAGGTACACAGAGAAAGGAAAATAGGAGATATTTATGTATTTGGGTCACAGATCCAAGTTTACTCAAAAAAGGCAAAAGGGCCAGGCATGGTGGCATACTCCTGTAATCCCAGTACTGGGGAGACCGAGGCAAGAGAATTGCAAAGTCAAGGACAGCCTGGGCAATTTAGCAAGTCCCTGTCTCAGAATAGAAAGTTAAAAGACTAGGGATGTAGCTCAGTAATAGAGTGCCTCTGGATTCAATCCCCAGTGAAACACACACACACACACACACACACCCCACAGCAGAAGGCGTGAGGGAGCTCTAAATAATGCTGCAATCGGAAGCTATTTGTTCTGGTCTTTTTATTCATGCTAGGGAAGATGCAGCTCATGGAGAGCTTAGGTTCTAGTTGAGGAGGCAAGAGTAACACATGTGAACTGACAACGAACCACACAAGAGGATTTGCTGTCAATGATATGGAGGATGCATCTGTGTGGTGCAGTTAATCAGTGCTATAACACCTTTAAGCTACAGAGGCTTAGCTGGGTGACCCATGCTTGTAATCCCAGCAGCTCAGGAAGCTGAGGCAGGAGGATCTGGGTTCAAAGACAGCCTCAGCAACTTAAGGAGTGCCTAAGCAGTTTATCAAAACCCTATCTCTAAATAAAATATTTTTTAAAAGGGCTGGGGATGTGGCCCAGTGGTTCAATGTCCCTGGGTTTGATTCCTGGTACAAAAAAAAAAAAAAAGGAGTTTGCTGTTAGCATAGTCACCACAGAGACTGTTGGAGGAAATGGCTTCATCTGGGTCCTGAAAGGTAATAAGAATGGAGAAGGGACCAGGGTTAGGTGAGGGAGGGGAAGTAGGAGACAGTAAGAGTCCAGCAAACTCATGTGCCTGTGGACAGACCGACCCATTCAGAATGAGGTTGCCATGGTTGGGAAGAGTAGAAATGAAGAATGGAGAAATGAAAAGAGCCCAGATGGTAGAGATATTTGAAAATCTAGCCAAGGAGCTCATTCATGTGTTCGTAATTTCATTAATTTGTCCTTCCCTCCCTCCCTTCCTTCCTCCCTTCCTTCCTTCCTTCTCCCATTTACTGAGTTCCTGGTACACACAGCACCATGCTCAGGCCTGAATGGGAAAGAAGGAAGTGTGAGGATCATGATGTCATCACCAAGATGCCACAAAAGAGTTAAGATCCCAGACAAAAATATCATAGGTGCTTTAATAGGGCAGGGGGGGCCATGTGATCAGATGTGCACAGTGCCACCCAGCAGAGCAGACACAGGGAGGGCGGCATGGCATGTCCCGGAAGTGGTGCTAGGCTGTGCCTAGAAAGGGAGTCAGGTCTAACGATGATGAAGGAGGGCAGGTGTTCCAGGTGGATCGACAAGCATGGCGACAGGGAATGACCTGGGGGCCACAGGGGGAGGGTGTGCATGGGCACCGAGGGAGATGACAATGAACCAGAGAACTAGAAAGGGCCTCTGGACCTTCTTCCTGCTGCTGCCTCTTGCCCAGGAGACTGTAGGAGCCTGATGGCGGCCTCCCTTACCCACACTGGGTAGCTCTCCTCCTGAATTGAGGAACACACAGCTATTAGAGGATGCTAACTGCTATAATAAATAATCCCCAAGTATCAGCAGCAGAGCATTACAATCCAACGCGGTCAACAGAGAGCCTCTTACCCACACTGTCACCAGGAGCCTGACTCCTTCCATCTTCAGAGGCCACGCCGTCCTGACAGCTGCTGGTGACACGTAAAAGTTAGACAGCATGGATAAGGCACACCCACGCCCTACGAGCAAGAATTAGTCATGTGGCCCGTCCCCAGATGTCAAGGGGCTGACATGGAAGGTAATGACGGGCCTGGAAAGAGGAAATGGGTTTGATGAGAACCTAGTCAGCCTCTGCAATAACGTGTCTCCATAATCCTTATGTCAATATGACACCTGGCTTCAGGAGGGGAAAGAGAGAAATACACAGTGAGCATGAGGGGGCTGCAGGTTCTGACCAGATCCTCCCTCTGGCTGTGTCCTCTGACAGGCAGTGAGCTGGGGAGTGCGGGGAGATGGGCTTGGAGTCTCCCCCTTCAGCCCCTCATCAGTCCCATGGGAATCTTACACCTGTCCTTAAGACAAGTGACGTGGAAGAGCAAACAGGGGTCATTGCCCACCCCCCAATGAAGCAGCCTGCTCCTGGCCTGACCTCTCCTTCTCATCTATTGCCACCACCACCACCAGAGTCAGCAGAGGAACAGGGCAGCCTGGGAGACTGTCATCACCCCGTCCCCGACCCTTTGGTGTCCCCTGTGTGATTAAAGAGGAGGCTAAAGAGTGGAATGTTATTACAGCTTTTCCATAATGCAATGTCATCAGCAAGCCCTGGGCCTCTGGGCAGCGCCCTGGCAGCGCCATCACTCTTCCCAGCTGCACAGAGCTTTTAGACCACGGAGGAAAGGGCAGGCGGCAGTCTAATAAAACAAATGGCAAGGCGAGACCGCTCATCAGCAGCTCTTCAAAATGATCTAAACTTCTGACTTTTGATTTAAATCTGCATCCTCTGTGGCCAAAAACATAAAACAGAAGATGAGGGAGAGAACTGAAATGAAAGTACGGGTGCCAAGAAGTAGAGGGGAGGGCGGGGGTGGAAGGGCAGCCCTGGGACAGACAGCGAGCCCAGCCCGGCGGGCTGACTCGCAGCCAGGCTCCAGACCTCTCATCAGGCTCTTCTCAGAACCTCCCCTTCTGTTGCTAAGCTGCCCAGAAATGGGATAGAGAGTTGGACTGCTAACCCAGCAACAGGCTCCAGGAAGCTCTCTGCTCCTGGTTTGCCCTAAACCTTTCTCCCTCAGTCGTCCAAGATGAGTCGGCTAGAGAGGCAGGGCTATGGCGGGGACAGGTGGCCAGGAGACCTGGCTTTATGTTCTAATGTCTTTCTCTTCAGATTCATTTGCTCAACAAACATTTCATGAGAGGTTACTGTGCACCAGGCCCTGCTGTCCAATAGTGCTTTGATGCAAAAGGGGACAAGTGATAGGGGCTGCTGCCTCCAGTGGGGTCAGGGAGCCTCTCTGCAGTGACATCAGGGCAGATGAAGTGCAGAGAGGAAGGCAGATCCCTGGGGCAGATGGACTCAGTATCTCAAGACAGCTGAGGGTCTTCAGATATATGAAGCCACTTAAAGATCCCACAAACTGGGCGCAGTGGTGCACGCTTATAATCCCAGCGGCTGGGGAGGCTGAGGCAAGAGAATTGCAAGTTCAAAGCCAGCCTCAGCAAAAGCAAGGCACTAAGCAACTCAGTGAGACCCTGTCTCTAAATAAAATACAAAATAGGGCTGGGGATGTGACTCAGGGGTCGAATGCCCCTGACTTCAATCCCCAGTACCCAAAACATAAAAAAGACCCCACAAAGGCCTGTCCAAACCCTTACATGTCTTTTTTACCTCAAACCCTTACATGTCTTTTTTAAAAAGTTCACCCCACAATAAGGCAGTGGTCTAGTGTTCAGTGTTACCCTCTTGGCTACCTTTGCCCCCAGGTCATTAAATGACTAACTATCCTGATTCAAGTCCAGGCCCACACTTTTTGGTAACATATCCAGGTATTGGAGCCAATGAGTCTCTCCAGTTGAATAAGTTGAAAGAGGAAAAATCAGGAAATCGTGCCCCACAATGAAGCTAAGTATTTAATTCCTTTTTAATGTTTACATTATTAACACCAGCATTACAAAACGATATTTTTACTTTCGAGCGATTTAAATGTGCAATTTAGTGTCTCAATTACTAGGATCATTATAACTTAAAAAACAGAAGCAGCGCCTCCCTCCTGTCTCCTCTCCCTGCGAATGCCTCCTTTCTCTAAAGAATAATCAGGGCTCCAGAAAGCCCAAATACCCATTCCAAATGGCTAGGGAGGGGCAGCCCTGGTGGGGGTTTTCAATAAGCCAGAGGAGGCTGCATTCAGAGTGGAATGAGTGACAGCCTGCAGGTGGGCGTTAAAATGGTCATCAACTCCCTGAGGGGCTGGCACCACTGAGCAGCATTCCAGGCAGTGCCTATTAATGTGCCCAGAATGGCACTGGGTGATTGACAAGCTAGTGAGCCCAGACTCTGGCTCAAACCACCCACAGCACAGTGAGGGGAAGAGGGGGCCTGGGTAAAACAAGGCCAGGAGGAACCCAGGGCCCCTTGGAAATGACAAATAAGAGCCGTTATAATTTGTTGACCTACTCCTGGCCAGCAGTGGCTAAGCCCTGTAACAGGCTTAGAGACACATGCTGGTGGTTTGCAAGGGAACACGGCAAGACAGGAGGAGGTAAGAGTGCAGGCTCTGGAGCCACCCAGCCTGGGTTCAAATCCTGGCCCTGCCACCTCCCAGCTGGTGACCCTGACAAGTCCTACCTTTTCCACCTCTATAAAAATGGGAGTAATAGTGGTCCTTGAGCCATCGTGAGGACTAAATGAGTCAATTTGTGTAAGGCATTTATAACACTAACTGGCATGGAGCGAATACCCGGTTTTAATTTATCATTATAAGTCCCATTTAAAAAACCCATTATGGCCCATTGGCCTATATATAGGACACCTATAAAGACCTATTACATTTTATGGGAGACCTATAAAATTGTTCAAATTAAGTTTTTATAGGTGTCCTATATGTAGGACAATGGGATTTAATGGGTTTTAAGATGAAGCAAGATGGAGCTTAGAGTGACTGAGACGCCCACCCACCCAAGGCTGGCTGCTCTGAGGGCCTCGGCTGCCCTCCACCTGGACAGCCTCCCTGGCCTACCTTCACGTGGCTGTCTCCTTGGTGACTCAGGTCTCTGTCAACCACAGGCCCTTCTGGGATGACTTCCAGGCCCCATCCCCATCTGTGTGGACCCGGTCCCCTGTCTTGATCTTCCCCTGGCATCTATCCCATCTGAAATTACCTTCTTCACTCAGTAAGTGAGTTAATATGTATAGTGCACTATTGTTATTGTATGTTTGCTTGGTGGTTGACTTTCTCCCCATGCTTCAGAAATTATATGGATGGTCCTAGATGGATGGATGGATGGATGGATGGATGGATGAATGGGTGAGTGAGTGAGCAAGCCCACATTCCAACCCAGGCTTGTCAGATTCCAAAGCCAAACAAGCCTCCCGATGGGGAAAGACAGGTGGACAGGGTGGTCTGAACCTGAGATAAAATAAACACAAGCTGAAGCTGGGTGGGGGAGGAAGAGCTGGAAGGAGGAAGAGCTTCCCTGGCTTCCAGTCATTCTCTTCAACTTCTCTTGCACTTGTATCTCAAGTGGAGTGAAAACCACTTGCTGACACCTCGCATTTCTCTTCCTGTTGCCTAAGACAGAGGAAACTGTCCCTACCTCCCAGGACAGCTGGCAGACAGCTGCATGCTCTTCAAAGCCACAGTTGTGGTGAGGCCTCAGGCAGCGTAAGGACTCAGGAGCCCCCAACACAGCCCTAGGTGTCTGGTCTAACAGCAGATAGACAAATCCTTTCCCTCTGGGCCCCAAGAAAGTCACCAAAACTTTGTGGCTATAAATAGAGCTGAAGCAAGGCTGTGATTGGGCTGGGAACCTCGCTGGGTGAGCAGGGCAGCTTCCTGGAGGCCTTTCCCCCACCCCTCAGCACCTCATTTTCCATCCCAGAACTCCCTCGCCTCAGGTGGGCATTGAACACCCTAGGCCTGCAGGTTCTCTTTGTACTGCCTTCCCTCCTAACACCTTCAGATCAGTGAGAAGTCCTTCCCTATTACAAACACCCATAAACTCTACCCTTGTCCTCTCTCCCAGTCCTCCACACCCAGGCCAGCCTCTTGATGCTCCTGAAGCCACCCCTGATCTTTGTCCCCCTATTTCCCTGAATAGCTAGCAGTAATATTTCTTTCTCCAAATTCCATGTGCCCGAATGTCACGTGCTACTTCACAACCGAGATATATTCTGTGGATCACACAGTGATTTCATAGTGTCAACATCATACAGTGCAGGTTCATGAACTAAGAAAGCTGTGACATCACCGGCAATAGCACCTTAAAGGACCACCCTTGTATATGTGATATTGAAACATCATTATACAGACCATGACTGTACTAAAGAGAAACTGTCCCTTTAACTTTGCATTTTGCTTATGCCTGCACTCCCAGATTCAACAGTTAACTCATTTTTTTTTTTTCTGGTACCTGGGATTAAACCCAGGTGTGCTTAACCACTGAGTGAGCTGCATCCCTAGGCTTTTTATATTTTATTTAGAGAGAAGGTGTCACTAAGTTGCTTAGAGCCTTGATAAATTGCTGAGGTTGGCCTTGAACTCCCCATCGTCCTGCATCAGCCCTCCAAGCCACAGGATTACAGGCATGCACCACCGCACTCAGCTAACAGCCAACTCTTTGGAAGCAGGAATCTCCTAGATTCACCTGTACAGAGATTCAGGGGCAAGAAGGGAGAGGCCTGGGGGAGGCAAAGTGGTGAATGCATGGTCTTGGCTCACTGGAGGACAGTGAAGATTCAGTACCTGCCCACTTTCCTGAGGAAAATCTAGATGGTGGGGCAATCTTTTGAAAAGAAAAATCAGCCCTTGTGGGTGATGAATCGAGAGATGTATAAGACTTAGTAAAACAAATCTTAATGGGAGAAAGCATTTGCAAATCATATATCTGAAAAGGTTTAATATCCAGAAGATAAGAATTACTAAAACTGAATAACAACAACAAATTTAAAAAACGGACAAGCAAGGTGCAGTGGCACATGCCGGGAACTCCGGATACTTGAAAGGCTGAGACAGGAGAACTGCCGCGACCCCTCACCAGCAAGGAGGACATGACACAGGATTCTTCTTTCAGCAGTTTATTCAGGCCTTTAATTATGTGTCTCTGGAAGCTTCTCTTACTACTACTACTACTACTACTACTACTACTACTGCTACTTCTACTACTTCACCCGAGCGCCCCAGCCTTGATAAAGCACATCAAGCCCCAATGCACAACTGCCACGTGGATCTTTCTCATAGGGTGTTTTACAGCTACGTGCCAACTCTCCCAAAACAAGGAGTTGTTTATCACAGGCCACGGCGCTTATCAGCGCCATCTTGTAATGGCGACCACGGTCTGCTGACACGGCTCACCACAGAGAACAATAAGTTCAAGGCCAGCCTCAGCAACTTAGCAAGACCCTAAGCAACTCAGTGAGACCCTATCTCAAAATTTAAAAAAAAAAAACAAAAGGGCTGGGATGTAGCTCAGTGGTGAAGTGCCTCTGGGTTAAATTCCAAGTATTAAAAAAAAAAAAAAGGATAAAGGGTTGGGCAGGGTGGTATGTGCCTATAAACTCAGTTGCTTAGGAGGCTGAGGCAAGAGATTGGTAAGTTTGAGGCTACCCTGGGCAATTAAGTGAGATCCTGTCTCAGACGAAAAAAATAAAATGGGATGGGAATGCAGCTCAGTGATAGAACACCCCTAGATTCCATCTCCAGTACCACAACAAACAAACAAAAAAACGGACAAAGGACTTGAATAGACATTTCTCCAAAGAAGATGCACGAATGACTAATAAGCATATGAAATCATGCTCAATATCACTAATCATTATAGAAATACAAATCAAAGCTACAATAAGATACCAACTCAGGGCTGGGATTGTGGCTCAGTGGTACAGCGCTTGCCTGACATGTGTGAGGCACTGGCTTCGATTCTCAGCACTACATATAAATAAATGAATAAAATATGCATTTATCAACAATCAAAAAAATTTTTTAAAAAAGATATCAACTGATACCCAAAAGGATGACTACTACCCAAAACAAACAAACAAACAAACCCAAAATAAACAATGTTGGTAAGGATGTGGAGAAATTGGAACCTTTGTGGACTATTGCTGGTGACAATGTAAAAGGGTGAAACTACTATGGAAAACAACACAGAAGTTTCTCAACAAATAAAAAAATAGAACTACTATATCATCCAGCAATTCCACTTCTGGATATATTCTCAAAAGAAGTGAAAGTAGGAACTCCACAAGATATTCGTAGATCTACATTCACAATAGTATAATTCACAACAGCTAAAATATGAAA